AAAAAAAAAAAAAAAAAAAAAAAAAAAGGCGTTATATGATGAATGTTGTAATAGATGTTGTAGATAAAGATAATAAAATAATATTTATATTACATTACTTTAAAAACTGATAAAAGAACCAAGGTTTGATTGTATGATTGTATAAATAAAATTTTTTTTTAAAATAAATAAAAGATGATGATGAATTTGATGATAAACCAAGATTACAGTAAAATATGGCTAACTCCTTATTTCACATTACTTAACTTGCATAGATAAGAAATTTTAAGTATTATAACACAAAAGATAAGTAAATTTTTTTTTTGGATCAATCAAAAAAAAAATGAGTTATACAAATGTTTATATATAGTATATCAAAAATTTTTTTTTTTTTTTTTTTTTTTACCTCGAGATTTACTACGGCGAGAATCGTATCAAAGACTAATATCTGTAATGGGAGATAAGAAAAAAATTCATTACAGGGGATTACAGGTGATTTTCTTGACAAGGGTGAATACAAATAATTACATGCATTTTCACACAATGATAAGTTTAATTCGTAATCTGATAAAAAAACTCGTATTTCTTCCTTTGTAACACGCCTTTATCAGAAAAATTACACAACTAAAAGTAAAAGGATTTGATAATTTTTTATTATGGCGAATTATAGCGCCATCATTTCTATAAAGGAACATTTAAAGTAATATTTCTTAATAGATTAAAGTGGAAAAGATAGACGGTTAATTGATTGTATGAGGATATGAGCCTCAACAAAACATGTGAGCTGTCAAATAACTGCGCATATAACAAACAAAAGCTGATATAAAGTGGCTTTGTTAAGAAAAAAAACTAGTTATTAAACGAGGTTATATTATCTTGCTTAAATTAAAAAAAAAAAAAGGGTTTTTTTGAATTTCCTTTAATGGTTACTGATGCGAGATAATGCAATGCTCATATGAATAACAACCAATTTTGACGTAATATATATATTATATATATTATATTATATTCTCTTGAATTCCGTTTTATCTTTTTACCGTTTTAAAATAAAAATTCTAAATTTAATAAACTTCGAGAAAAAAAAAGAAGATAAATAAAGAAGGTTCCAATAAAAAAGGCTTCCTTATCAACTAGATAAATATCAAAGAAGAAAATCTCATATGAAATTATTAATTTTGACTGATTATTAGATGAATATTCACAAGAATTTCCTGATTATTATTATAAATAATATGTCATTAATCAAAAAAGGATTATCTCTTGAAACACAATATAAAAAAATTAAAGAAAGAGGCTTTAAAAGAAATCCGAAAAAAGAAAGAATAAAAGTTAATCTTTAAAACTTGTCAAGTTACAGAAAAGAATTTTTAACTCTGAGAATATCGGGCGAAATTTTATATATATGGTGTTTGATAATGTATTGAAATTTTAACTATTGCATATTTTGATGCATGCTCTGCATTTTTGATTATTTAATTTGATTACTAATTAAATGAACAACAAGTAATACTCGTTTTTTAATTATTACTTATTATTATTATTTATTATTATTATTTTATCATCCTTTTTGCTTTTTTTTTTTGCTTATCTGCTTGTCTGCTTGTCTGCCACCCCACATTCTTATTATTTCCTTTTTCTTTTTTTGATAATCTGTAAAAATAAAATTTTTATAAAACAAAAGAATAACTTTTAAGTAAATAGGAAAATATGTATGGAAAATCTTTCTTCCATTTTTTTTTTTAAAAACGGTTCCGGCCGGTCCTATTTGGAACCCGAAAAATTATATATATATATTAGGATGAAAAATATATATATTTGGTTAATATATATATTTGGTTAATTTGAAAAAAAAAATATTCCCCTTATATGTTCATTAAAAAAGATAAAAAAATGATAAATCATTGGGTCGTGTGGTAAAATTGTTTGTTATTCGATCAAAAATAAAAAATCGAGTTTTTTTTTTTAAAAATGGTTAAAAATAGATTTTCATTGGGACCCATTAATTAAGCTATACACTAACAAATATATAAAATATATAATAATAATTATGTCGGATACCACATTTTTTTCTTGGGAATCACCCCTTAAACAGGCATATCAATCAGATCATTATCTCATCACATCTTGTACATCTTGATTATCAATAATCACATTATTCCCAATTTTATTTTCATCATTCCTAATTCAGCTGATTTAGTATCATCGCGTGCCCTTTTTATATTTATATTTTAATTTTAGATAACTTTGTTTTACAAAGGATATCATGTTCGGCATATTCGGGCCTACTAATTCTCATAACTAATATTCTTATATAAATATGTGCATTATTATTAAAAATTATTATCGTGAATTTCACTTTTATGGTTAATACATAATAATAATAATATATCTTTTTTAATTTTCACGCGATTTTAAATGCGCGTTACCCGTTTTTATTATGATGTAATTATTATTTTTAAAACAAAGGGGATAAAAAAACATTTTCTTCTAATAGATGAAAATTTAATCCATAATGAGAAATTTATATACGTAATTGTTTAATTTATTGAGGCGCATGTCAATAGGTAAAATATGTAATGTTATGTTATGCCGGATTTCGAGCAATGATTTTAGGAAATGGCTTATACCGTTACACTCCCGTATCATTCCCATTTAAAATCATTAATTCCAGAATATTCCGTCAGAAGGAAAATCCGGAAATCTACCCCAAATTTTCTAAATGTTCCTTGCGTCATTGATATAAATGTTACACCACTTTATCAGTTATTTTATTTTTTCCTTCTTATGGTCATTAAATTATGCGGAGTGTGAAAGAAACGCGGGATAAAATGTATTGGTTGATTTTTTTTTTTTAAAAATAAATTCATTGAATGGCTTAAAAATAAACAATTGATAATGTGGTGTAAATATAATATAATATAATATATATTCGGAGAATTTATAATGATGTTTTAGTAAAGATAACCGGAATCAATAAAAAAGATAAGATTTTGTTGGGGAAGAATGGCATTAGCCGAAATCATTATTTTTCCTTATTTTTCCCTTTCAAAAAGTGAAAAAAGATCTTTTTTTTGTTTATTTACATTACAATATATTTGGTAATTCTTGAACGAAAGACTTAATAAGTAAGGAATTGATTCACATATTGAAATGCACAAAAGTACACAAAGAAGTACAAAGTAATTTATTGGTTTGTAAATCTTTTTTGATACGTAATAAATTGTTTACATGGCATATTCGTGGAATTCCCGTGTATTCCGAACTAAACTAAATATTGTATTTTTGATTGTTATTGAAAGTATTACAATTTATAATAACCAATAATATTAAAAGATTCTTCACGAGTTAATTTAATTGGTAAATAAATATAAATATATATATATATATATATATAAATTGAAAATCGGTCATTGAAGTCCGTCAAAAAAAATTTAAGGATTATTGAAAATCATTTATACTAAAATAATTTTATAATCACCGAATAAAAAAAGTGGGCTGATCGATCAAAAAAAAAAAAAATTGGGTACTTTCCTAATTTAAACCTTTTTTTCCTTATGAGAATTTTGATTTTTTAAGATTCAAGGCGTTTTTGTTGTGAATATGAATTTTTGTGAATTTTTTGAATTTTGTGAATTTTGTGAATTTTATGAATTTTATGAATTTAAAATAAAAAAAAACGAAATTTCCGGCCGGCCTATTTTTAGCCTATTTTTTTTTTTAATACAGTATAAAGTAAAATAAGTAAAATTATTATATATTATATAAATTAAATAAATTATTATGTATTATATAAATCATATAAAATTATTCATATAAAAATTATTTAAATCATAATTATTTAAATCATAATTATTTAAATCATACAGTATTCATATAAAATCATATAAAATCTAAATATATACCATAATAAATTTACTATTTATGATACGTTCATGAATACGGTAAAATCGGA